ACAATGGCCGAGTTTCTAGCTGTGGCTACCACCCACTGACACGTGACGCACAACTGCAGTCAGCAAGGGGGCAGCACGATTCACCCACCCACCACTTCATCAAATTTTGCATCGCTGAAAAAAATATGAAAAAAAAAGAAAGAAAAGATATTGCAAACGAAATTTCACGTATATGCCATTCAGTGGTCAGCAAAAAAAAATCTTTGAAATTTTATTGGTCAGTGAAAGTCATGCAAGAAAGAAATGCATGATCAATACAATTTACAAAGGGCAGAACAATACAATGTATTTACAGGGGATAGAGGGATACCACGCATTCATAAGTGAGGAAGAAGTGTACAACACATTTACAAATGAGAGCTGAGCAAACACTGGTTCAGAGCAAGCAAACCCATACAAAATAGAGCTGAACACGTATTCCATACCAATTTATTGCAAGAAAAATTATGCGAGCATTTGACCGGTGTAGCACGCAACCATGGTACAATGAAGACTGATGGATTAAAAAAATAAAAAAGATCAAGAAATGAAATTATAATAGAAACTAAGCTTCCTGTTTCTAGAGGGACCATGTACAACACTTGGTAAAAAAAAATGCAATACTACTGTCAAAAATTATATGTTTTCGGTCTTCCAATCCTTATTGCTTGTTGATGGACCAGCAGCACCATGTTCAGGATCGTCCGGAACAATATTCAACGAACTGTTCGATGATCTGCTACTACTGGGACTGCCCAGCTGCTGTCTTCGTAATGATCCAGGTGGACAACCTTTGACCACACGAAACGGATTCTTGTTATTTTCCCAAACCGAATTCTTCTTAGCAACTCCAAGCAAATCACAAATCTGATCCAATCTGCGCTGTCGCGCTATTTGCCTGCCCTGAAACAGTGTCGCTTGTCTGCTATAAAAGATTTTATTTATTCGCCAAAAAGCAGGGCCCATATATTACGCCTTAGGAACACACGCAAATTTTTCTGAACTATTTTATGAAGTGTGCAGTAACGACACACACAGACGTGAAAGCAGTAAAGTGATCTGTGAAGGAGGAAGCAATGGAGCGAAGAATGCTTGGACCGTCTCTCTGTGACGACATAAGTAGTCTGACTATCAGATGAGTTATTTGCAGGTCATCACTATAGCAAAACGACAA